GTCGTGATTTAAAAAAAAATCCGAAAAGAAGTCCTTCAAAAATCTTGGAAAATTGTAAGGAGTTCTGACAATAATAGTTCTAATGAGTTCTAAGATAAATTCCTAAGGAATACTGAAACGAATTCAAAACGATTTCTAGGGAAAGTGAAAAACGAAGTTCTGAATTGAATTCCCATGTTAATTCTAAGAATAATTCCAAGGGAGTTGTGAGGATAACTTCAAAAAAATTTCACGGAGATTCTAATCTGGGATATTGGGGAGAGCAACAGGAAAATTCTCATGAGAAGCCTAATAAAACTCTTATGTAAACAGATTTTAAGGGAACAAATTAATGGAAATTACGAAAAAAAAAATACAAAAGAAAATTTATTCTAAGATCAATTTAAGAAAATCGAGGAAAATTAAAAATTAAATCTTAGGATATCCCGAAGAAAATTCAAAGAGCCGAAGGACTAGAGCTCAAAGAAAATTGTGAGAAAAATCTCAAACCCAGGATAATTTCAAAATAATTCTAACGAGAATTCCATGAAAATTCTTGGAAAGTTTTAAGCGAACTCCTGAGAAGAATTTCCTGTTAGTTTTACAAGAATGTCATGTTAGTTCGAAACAGATTTCCACATAAGTTCTGAGATTAATACAAAAGAAATTCTAATAAGAATTGCATGGAAATTCGGATTAGAAAAAGTATTACATAAAACTCCTGCCCCGTAGCGTGGGTAGATCACTTTTTCGTGGTACGTTACGGGTGTTTCTGGTGCGAAGAATAGAGCACCAATATCATGGCTAAGTACTATGTCACACTGCAGAATATAGTGTTGCCTACAGAACAGCTGCTTGATCACACCATAAGATTATCAATCTCTTAAACAATTAATAAAAATTTAAGTTGACATTTGGCTGAAAAACGCTATTCCTCAAAGGTAAAAAGGTAAATGAATCATTAAACAATGACGATGTTCCTTAATAAGTAAAAAAAATCTCCTTAAAATAGATCGGGTTGCTCCTTAAATGATTGATCAAAATACGTTAAAAATCATAAAATGCTTAGTAAATATTTAAAGTACGCTCCCTAAAATAGAGAAAACTGTACATTAAGCATTTGAAAATGCTCCTTAGTATGCACCGCTTTGCATCATTTTGAAATGTAATTGTACCATATATCATCGGAAAAGCTGCTGTAGAAAGGTTAATAAGTACCATGAAATCAGCTGAAATGTTCAGTAAATCATTGTATGCATTTGTGCATTTTTACTGAACATTTCAGTTGATTTCATGGTACTTATTAACCTTTCTACAGCAGCTTTTGCGATGATATATGGTACAATTACAGTTCAAAAAGGTGTAAAGCGGTGCATACTAAGGAGCATTTTCAAATGCTTAATTTACAGTTTTCTCTATTTTAGGGAGCGTACTTTAAATATTTACTGAGCATTTTAAGATTTTTAACGTATTTTGATCAATCATTTACGGAACAACCCGATCTATTTTAAGGAGATTTTTTTTACTTATTAAGGATAATTTCATCTGTTTTATTGAGCAAAAGTAGCTTTGAAAATTACCCGTAAGAATATTGATAGAAATTTTCGAAAATCCAATATGGAAAATGGGTAGAAGATAATGAACAAAAAGTTTGGTTTTCCGATATTAATTTCCATATAAACTTCAAATAGTTTGTGCCAAGTCAGTTCTAACCAAATGAATTTGAATTTTGGGAAGCTAATCAGGACCTGATTTCAAACCGTTTGAGTACTGTGGAGCGAAAATTTCAAATTTTACATCAGTCTAACCTCTAATTGGGAAAACACCCACACCACAAGTATACCCAAGTAACATTGCAGGTTTAATGAGATTTTAAAGCACTCTACAAGTCTAAATCATGGTCTACAGTACCGACATAAAACCCAAATTGTTACTTGGGTAGGCACTCAACTATGAATGGAACACCAACCCTACTTGCATGTACATGACAATTTATTGAACAAACAAATTATACGTAGGGGCTGTTTAGTTTTTAAGAGGTTTTAGAAACCCATCATACAAACTTTTGGAAATGGGTGAGAACCGTAGACACTTGCCTTCCTCCCATACTCATATTCAGGGAATGAAATCACCGATTCTGATAAAGATAATGTTATCTTCATAAAGAAAGAATTAGTAATATCCGTTTAATTCAACAACATTATTTGCATATCCTTGACCGATACGTATATTCAGTCTACAATGTGCAGACTTCTTCAGTATCTTGACACACAAGACACTGAAAAAGTCTGCACATTGTAGACGAAAAACGCGTATCTGTCTGTCAGTAAATAAGGTAGTGGAATTGAATAGAAGTTACTAATCCTTCTCTCTTTCTTTATACAGGTATTCCATTAAGACGCCCAGGATTCAATGATATCTTAATATTTCTATACAGATCTGGAAAAAAGGGGTTATCTTTTTTGATCGATTCTCTTCATCGACTTTCTATTTCGTTAATAAGTCAGCTGCAACAACATTACCTGTTGTATTTGACAATTTGGACGGTAGATAAGAACCTCTTTTATTATGCTATGTGGCAAAAATAGCACGAAAACTGTTTGCATAGCCGTGGTTATCAATAGAGAAAGTCGATGAAGAGAATCGATCAAAGCAGATAGGCCCTATTTCCAGCTCTGTATAGATTTGTTACACTCATAATAAGTACTAGCCAAGGAACCGCAAGGTAAAATTATGTTAAAAATATAGCCACTATCATTATTATTACACATCATGATCAGAACCATTAGCGATAGTCTCCGATCATCATCCTCAACTTTCGTCACTGGAGATTCTCCAGATCAGGCGAGAATAATGTGCTTGTCTCGAGATTCCAGCCAGTCTTCGGAAAAGTTGGCCAGGTAGCTAATGCCTTTCAGATTGTGGATATATTAGTTGAAAATTAATTTCACTATTTTCATAACAGTTCCATGTAGGTAGGCAATCAATAGAACATGGGAATGTTATGCAAGTAGCGGTAGTATTGCAGATATAGATTTATATCGTGATACAGACCCGATGGTAAGTTGCTGTCTTTGGCATCGTTGTGCAGGTATCCAAAACCTTTCGTATTGTGCGAAAATTAGTTCGGAATTCTGTCGCTACGCGGTGCCAGTGTTCAAAATGTGCTCATATCATATGCTTTACTATCTGGGAAGATGCTGTTTTGGACAAGTCAGTTGAAAATTTATATACTACGTGCTGCTAGTGTGTATATGAACTTCTAGAATTTGCTATATTTCGAAATTTAGACCACCTGGGAAGTTTCTGTCGCCGATAAAGTTGTTCATATAACCAGAACCTTTAGAAGGCGCTAGTGTACATGTGAACTTCAATGAAAATGATATATCTCGAGATCCTGATCATTTAGGAAATGTTTGCCTTTTACCACGTTGAGACTCAGTGTTGGAAAAGTTCGCGATATTTCACGAAGTTCACCAAGCGAAAACTTCGCGAGTCATAGTGAGTTTTTACGAACTTTTCCATCACTGTTGAGACTACAGAGTTATAACATATAATAATAATTATCGACAAGAAAAATGTCATCAAGATAGGCTTATAACATGTTATAACTACTCAATCTGGCCAGCGTTTTCGACAAAGTTATTCAGGTAAGGAAGGCCTTGTAGTGGGGCCTCATAGCCTAGTTAGTAAAGGTGCGGTATTACCAAGCCAGAGGCAGCGGGGTCGATTCCCGGTCCGATCGAGGAAATCTTTTGGGTTGAAAATTTTCTCGACTTCCCTGTGCATAGAGTATCATTGTGCTTGCCACACAATTTACAAAATTCATGCATTGGTATTGGTATCGAAAGCTCTCAATTGATAACTGTGGAAGTGCATTTAGAACACTAAGTTGAGAGCACGCAATAAGCTAATATGCACTAGAATAGTCAACTAATCTGTGCACCACCAGAAGGCCTTGGTTAGAAAAACTACTTTGCCCAAGTCAGCAACTGCCCAGATGGTCAGGATCTCGAGATATAGCATAATTAGTGTTTTCACATGCTCAATAGCACTTATATACCTACCATTCAAAAGGTCTAGGCTATCTGAACAACTTGCAATTCCACATGCACACTAGCACCGCACAGTGGTAGAATTCTGAACTAATCTAGGTTCATAAGATTTTTGATATCTGAACAATGTTATCGAAGACAGCTATTTTCCAGATAGTCAGGATCTTGCGATAAAGTACATTGATCAGTAGTGACACATAGTGACGGAATTCTGAACAAATCTATTCACCAATAGTAAGTTTTAGACTATCATTTTTTTTTCGAAAACAGCAACTACCCAGTTGTTCAGGATCTCGAGCTATAGCATATGCTGGACGTTCATATGCACACTAGCGTCAGATGGTTGGAAAATTCTTAACTAATCTGTCCACCATTTGAAAGGCCTTGTTTATCTTAACTGCCAACTTCCTAGATCGTCGAGAGTTCGAGGTATATTACCCAGTGATATCAGTGGATTGTCAACAACAGCTGATCATGATGTGTATCAAAAATGATACTTCTAAATTTTAGATCTCTCTAATCATGATTCCGTTTACTAGTATTTTTATCGTCATGAAACATCGGAAGCCATGATTTTTTTTTCTGAATCCCTGCTCATATGCTCCTTCAGTTTTAGTGACTTGAATTTTAAATCCTATTCGTTAATGCATGATTTGTAAATATTTACATGATTGACAAATCTCAGGTAATCAGGACATTTTGATCTGCTGCGTAAGGATCTGTCATGATAATCTGAGTTTTGCCAAAAAATCGTAAATATTCGCGCTGTGTACAGCGAAGAATATCATGTAGAATGAAAATATATTTAATGTAAATTTACAGACTTGTTGCAGTGTATCACTAAAAGCCATCGCGTGATTTTCCTCGTTTTCGTTCATATCTACAAATTTAAACTTATCCGGACTAATGCATCTATCACTAAGCATTGTATTTGTATCCATATCGGTATCTGTAATCATAACATACAGTGGGCATGGTTGCTTACCGCCAAATACACTGACTGCATCTGAAACAAAATAAGAAAAAAAAGCAAACGTTAATTGTGATGTTTTAAAAATAATCTAATTAGTAAAAAAAAGCTCAATATAGTAATGACCGGATTTTGCCCCTTTTGAAAATCTTTGCTAATGCTCATGTGGTTTTTCAGTGGTCTTCTTGCTCCAAAGTATATACCTTAAATATCCCTCTTGAAGTTGAATGAGAAAGAATTGGAATTACGGTTGGGTGAAATTATTGACTCCGATTTGCATGAAACTTTGCACAATTGTTTGTTATGATCAATCATCCACATTTGAGCTGAGATTCGGCCATTTTTAATCTCGCAAAACATTTCAAAATGGCGGTTCCATATTATTCAGCAAGTCATAGTTCTAAAACGTCACTTTCAATCAAAATGACGTATGAAACCAAGTTGTAGGCAGGGTTGCTTACACTCACTTGCTATAAAAAATCAGTGATGAAATCGCCTATTGTGACGCTCTGAAAACTAAATTGACAGGTTTTATTAATCAAACACATACACCTGCTTGTAAATTACAATGACTAATTATCATTATAACATCAAATGGTTTCATAACTCTGAAAAATCTGAGTTGGTTGGAAATGCTAACATGAAGCTTTAGTGTGATAATTTATTAGCTAGAGAATGATCTTTTAGAAGAGAGTAGGTGGATAGTTCCGTTAGAGTACGGCAGTATGAAAATTGAATAGAAGTTGAAAATGAGCGAAGGGCCATTAATGCGACAGTTTTTAAAGATCGAGGCACATTTTTGCCTAACCCGTACGATGTACGCGGGGACTTGAAGTATGTCTCCAAGTCCACAGGCAAAAATGTGCGTCCCTCTTTTTGCTCATAAACTGACTGCGGCTGTGGAATAGTTCTAGCGACGTTTTCATCACTACCTAAAGCCCCACGTTGCGAGAGCATTTCCAGTCGATGGTGTGTTATAATGCAGTTCTTCTTTACCCAACTATTGTGTTGCTCCTCTCGTCATGACCAACGTGATCATCTCAGAGAGAAAGCAGTAGGGTGGTTGTTGCGTGGCCCTTCGCTCATTTTCAACTTCTATTCAATTTTCATACTGCCGTACTCTAACGGAGCTATCCACCTACCCTCTTCTAAAAAGATCATTCTCTAGCTAATAAATCATCACACTAAAGCTTCATGTTAGCATTTCCAACCAACTCTGAAAATCGTTAACTTCGCGTATGAAGCAACAAAAAAACACTTTGAATGAAAAATCTGCAAGTGAGTGGAAGCAACCCCGGTTGTAGGTATAAAATATCATATAATATCATATAAAACTTGAATAACTTGACCCACTTCAATTTTTTTCATGAAAAATTGCTTCTGTGAATAGTTTAAGTTGGACACATAAAAATTAACAAAACTCAGTGAATAACAAATGTTTCAATAAATGTTTGGACTAGGGGAAATGGCTCTAATGTTGGCCTATGGATCTAAGATTTGGCCCATCGATAAAAATCTGCTATTTTTAAGTTTTATCTAGATGAACGTGTCATTGGGACGGTACTAATATTTTTGATCGCTATTGAAAATTTGGGAAATTATGGGACCAAATTAGGGGCATTTAGGTCGACATTACATCCATTTCCCCTAATTGTAGAAACAATGATTTGAAAATTTTGACACAGAAGACCAATTTTTAGCTTTCCAGAATTTTTTTCTGTGTTTAAATTTACATAAAAGAATTTATAGATAAAAAGTTCAAAGACTAGACCAAAAGTTGTTGTTCTGTGATGTTTGTATTGTGTTGTCTACTGTAAATGCAGTCATCAATTTCAAAATTGTATACGCATTCAACCAGAAAGCCGCATACTTGACATGAAATCGTTATCTACCCATTCATGAAACATTCAAATGTAAGAAGAACAAATCATCTATGCATCGGTGAAGTACAAAGCATTTCACAATTCGCAGGAGCAAACAAGTAGTAATATAAACATAATTATTCAAAGAAATTGGAACACAAAAATAAAACAACCCACCAGATAAGGCTTAAAAACGTAAACATTACCGGTTTGGTCGGCATTCATTGATGATAAAGTTATCAACCCTGGAAAATTGCTCCTTCCAGTACTCCAGAATGGTGTGATTAGCAAGCCGCCGGAAATTATTGAGGTCTAATTCGATGCTTTATCGATTTATAGGGTGCCGATCTTGTACTGGAACTTTGAAAGTCTGCTCCACCGACATTCTTATTTCAATGAAAGCTTACATTCAACCACGTGTCACTCCGATCAAGCTTCCCCAGTTCGTAAAGTTTGAATTCAAAACACTTCAGTGTTAATCACTCCTCACCTATGCGCATGAGGCAGCACGCAATGTCCGAAGTTAAGGATCAAATTACCCCAGCTAGATTCAACCCGATTGAAGCGTGAGAAATTTATCGCTCGATAAAAATTAATTCATTATAAACATCAAACTCCCAACGCTTGACTACCCTGGACATAACTTTCGTCAAATCACCGATCCCACAGATCTCACTTCCACTGGCTTGCTGTCGCTGTTGTAGCTCAAGCCCAGAAACGTCCGAAATAAAACCCCACATCAATAAACAACGCTGTTTCACTCTCTAGCCGTATCACACACCGCCTGGAGGTATCTGTATGTGTTTGCGTAGTGCCAAGTCGGTCTCAATTAGATGGATCGATGGTTAAACATAGGCCGACCGACCGATCAACCAAATCGTCAGGTAGCGTCAAAATGGGATGAGAAAACGACATTCGATCCTTCGGACCTAACCTGCGCGCGTAGCGATCATCACGATCGTAACTTATCTGCCCCGTAGCCGAGCCTGAAATAGACACGTTTTATTACTCTATTTCCCCTTGGGTGCGTCACGTCATCAACCGTGGGGTCTCCGGAACCGTGAAATCGTTCCCCTACCTGCCTGCCGAAATCGAAAAGCACTACACAGAGAGCCAAAACAAAAAAAGCTGGTTTTTATTTTAATGAATGAATAGCGGGAAACGAACCGTCGACGACCACCAATGGTGGATGTGAATTGGGGCCTCGTTCGGAGATGTTAGGTCTCCGAGTCAATGAAAACACCTGAAAAGTGTCCCGTTTCAACCCTGAATCGAAACGAGCGCTTGCAAATATTTGGAATTTTCAACTCCGTGTGTGTGGCATGGCATTAGACAGCCTCAATCAGACCGGTAGATACCGGAGACCGCACTCGCACACATACCCATAGTCAGATACTAGATAGATGATGGCAAACTCGTGTCCAACAAGTGATATGTTGATGAGACCCCTCCAATTAGCGCGGTAGCTTTGCAGCAGAAAATAAATATAACCAAAGCAGCAGCAGAGAGAGAGAGAGAGGGTTTGAGGTGAACGCCGGCATTACAGCTCAATTAGACTGTTTGGTTGATGACGGGGCTACCGCTATCGTCCAACAACGGCTGTTTGAAGAGCGGGCGAATTATCTATCTATGCCGAAAGCGCTGCCGAGTATAATTGGTCAACAAATCTGGAATGTCCGCCTTGTAAAGATAAAGCTCTGGAGCGTGAAACGTGATGGCAGTCACATTGAAAGCAGCTTGGAGCGTACTGCTACTTGTGATGGATATTTAGAACATGAGTTGGACGATGCATGGATCAAACAGAACTCTCTCATTTCGGTGAAGCAAGACGACTTTGGATGATTGTTTTCGGGGTGTCGTCCTTGCCCGGGTGTGCCTTTGTGATCTAACAGGTACGCCGGTTGTCTTATGAAATCACCACGATTCGTCCAAGATCAATGGTGACTGGAGCTGGGTACACTGGGTTCCATCTGGACCAAATTATCTGAAAGTAGGTCTGTCATAGTGGCTTCTCAGATTTCGACAACTTCAGTTAAGCTTTGAGGACTTTAAGGCGGTTCCATCTGCTTCAAGGAAATTGCAGAAGCGTTTAAGAAGTGCTAACTTCGGGACAGTCAAGAAAACTTCAGAGAAGTCCAAAGACCTTGTGGAAAACTATGGATACTTTATAGAAATTCCAAGAGCTTCAGACATGATCAGGAATCCTAAGAGCAATCCCAGTCTTATTGTCGCCGAAGACCGTTACGTAGCTAGGTATTTTCGTGTTTCTCATAATAAGAGCTGCCAATGTTGTACTTCATAGGCCTCATAGCCTAGTCAGTAAAGGCACGGTATTACCAAGCCGGAGGCGGCGGGTTCGATTCCCGGTCCGGTCACGGGAATCTTTCGGGTTGGAAATTTTCTCGACCTCCCTGGGCATAGAGTATCATTGTGCTTGCCATACAACATACAAATTCATGCATTGGTATTGGCATCGAAAGCTCTCAATTAATAATTGTGGAAGTGCATTAGAACACTAAGTTGAGAGCACGCAAAAAGCTAATATGCACTAAGCAATAAGCTTGAAATGCGAATAAGAAGAAGAAGAATGTTGTACTTGTGTGAATTCTGCAAATAGCAAGCAACGATGCCTTAGTAATAACATATCTGATCGGAACTGGTTTAATTTACACAAAATTTGATAATTTTCTTTTTGCTCGAATGTTGTTCTACCGTTTGTGTTGTATGAGAGCAACAACGGTAGAGCATGAGTGTACGAATACAAACAGACTGTTGCGCTCGATAACGAAGCACGTGTAGTAAAAAATGTCAACCATTTGATCCCCTGCTTCGAATTTCAGGGCCGTCCAGAGAACTCCTGAGAAGTTAAGAAAATTGCATACAAGTTTTGGAAACTTTACAGATTTCCAGAAATTTTCATTGAAAATCTTCAGGTAAAGTGCATTATGATAATTGTGCAAACTTTCGGGCATCTTCGAGAACATCAGTGCAGTTCAAACTCAAAATAGTTCCTGTGAGCTCTTCAGGGAAGTTCATAGTACTTTAGGCAATTTTTGAGGTTTTTAGCTACTTTCATTATTTGCAGGGATGTTCCGAGTGCTTGATCAGAGATTTACAGATCGGTTACATTAATCAACTGCAGGAGATTTCACAAAAGAACCGAGGAATAATTCA